CAATGTATTTGTAGTCACACAACCCCTCCCTCACCCCCTTGCTTCCCCCCCCCTCACATGTTTCTGTTCGACCAGGCCTCTCCTGCCGCCCAGCAAGACGCCCAGAGCTTCAGTGAGTCCGACCTTTTAATGGCCTAGCGGTGGCATTCTGAAGCAAATTAGAACCGGAGCTTGAATGGGCACCTGCTGACAAAAGGGGGCCTTTGCTCCCCCCCACCCTGATGATTTTAGAAGGGATGTTATGGCAAAACCCCATGAAACAGCTTTGTGCGGAAGGCCAGGAACCTGGCCTCTTCTAAAGTGTGCAATTTGCCAAAAAGACCCCTGCGCAAACTTACACAATCAGCCATGTTTTGTTTTCACCCCCCCCCCCCTTCAATTTAGCCCCCCCTTTCAAACGTTCAAACCCCTCCCTTCAATCAAGCTGCCAGTTGCCAGTTAAGTTGGAAAATCCAGTAAAATGGGACTTCTAACACCTCATTACTGACCCTCAGCTGAAAAGCCAGCAATTTTCCAGTGTTTGTTACTTAAACCATTTGGCACCTACAGTATATCACAGTTTGCAGATTCTTTTGAAGCATCTTGCTGATATTGCTATTTGTTTCTTTGTTATCATTATTCTCTTACTATAAGCATTCATTATAAGTATTAATCAAGTTTATCATTGTTTTTTCTTTTGTGTTCATTTGAAACAAATTTTCTTGGGTTCATTCGAAACAAACATACAGTATATCACAAAATTTTGGATTTTTTCATCATGTGGAACATTTTTGCAACAAATATTTGCTTTGGAGGCATTTAAGTTACATATTTGGGAATGTTTATGTTAGACTCTTTAGTTACACTTTAACAGCATTTTGAAATATGTCCATCCCTTTTTGATGTTGTGATCACATTGCTATTGATTCATTGTTGCCAAATAAATGACACCGTGTCACACCCACTGCGTGAAAAACGTTGCATGGCGATCCCAGTGGTCCAAGTGTGGTCAGGGTGTGTTTCACTTTAAGGTAAAAATGCTTGAGAAGTCCGAAGACAAGTTGTGACTAGTGGGCGAGTGTCAACATTTGTAAGGAGTGAAAAGCGATTTACACAACCCTGACGGAGATGGATAGAGGGATGGATGGATGACAGTCAGCTTTGTAGGCCCTCATTCACAAAGGTGTGCAGAACGCGGAGTACACTTCACATGAGTCCGTGTGCTCATCAGTGTTCGTCTTTGTCGTTCAGTGAGTGGAACAACATGATGACAAATGACTCGTGCGACACTAAGCGAGGATTGCTAAGGGTGATGGTGGTGGCAGAGAGTGGGGGTGGACTGCACATTACACAGAGGATCTGTTTTGGGTAAGCTGACCTTGCAGGCCCTGCCCAAAAAACAGCGCTGAGAGCCCATACCGTCACTTGACTTTCAAGTGCATTGGCCTGCAGGGGGCGCTCTCTACGTGTGTTCATTCTACCTCAGCCTTGGCTCAGTTAATCTGGTATTCCACTGGCTCTTTTCCTTCCGACATAGGTCTGGACGTTTTAGTGGCATCAAGGCTGAGGGCTGTAAGTGCCCTTTCCGAATTATTTTGCACTGAATTATCCATATGTGGAATACAACTGTGAAGAATTACACCACCTGAAAAGAGTGTATCTCATTGAGGCTTGTCCTTCTACTACGAATACATTGTGTGTGTGTGTGTGTGTGTGTGTGCCCACAAACCACCTCCCCCAACGTCTTACATCATATTGCCTCGTGCTCTTGGGCAGAACTATCCACCAGTTCGCAGAGCCTGCGGTTGGGGTGATGGAGGTGCCAAAAACGCTCACCTGAGTCCCAGACATAGTCGCTCGGGTGTATAATGAGTCACTGTGGTTTCCTGAAGAGGTTTTCCTCAGTCTGACTGTTTGACTTGGCAGGGACTCTGCCACATCCATTTCCAAGAACCATCCCACTGGAGGATGGCACAGTGGTTAGCACTCTTGACTCACACCTCTGGGACCAGCGTTCGGGTCTCCGCCGTGGTTCCATGAGTGTGTAGTTTACATGTCCTCCCAATTTTGTTGTGGGGTTTCCTCTGGGCACTCTGGTTTCCCCCTACAGTCTGGGACAAGCGGTTACAGAAAACGGATAGATGGATCCCTCTGGATACAACTGACACAATTATTAATGGAAACAGGAGCAGTAGTAAAGCAATTGTACAGCAGTGCAAGAGGGAATTACACACATCTCAAGGATTTGAGCATGTGTAGATTTAAAATAGGACAGTGAAATCCCACAGTGTAGCAAATTAGCAAATGCAGCCATGTGCACCAGAACTGTAAAACAAATCCATTTCCAGTTAACAGTTCACCTTTTATAAGGTCACAGTGAACCTGACCCAGGAAATACACCCTGGACAGGAGTGAGAGCCACAGGGCAAGTCCACACATCATGGGGGGAGGTGGGTAATTCAGGTCCAGGGAGTAAAAGTCCAGACCAAGATTTTGTTTCAACCAACCAGTTAAGCATTAATAGTCACAGTCACATAGTACTCAACTGGTTGGTTGAAACAAAATCTTGATCTGGACTTTTACTCTCTGGACCTGTACTACCAACCTCTGATGATGGGTGATTTGGAGACACTGATTGACCGACACACAGTATATTCTGCACGCACAGAGCACTGAGGACAAGAGTTCTGGGGGTGTGAGGCCACAGTGCCCCTCACTGAGAACTTGTGGGCTGCCATGTGTCGCCGAGCATCGTCAAAGTGTGACTTCACCCTGTTTCTCCTGTCGCCTGATTGGTTCAAATTTAATGGACTCACTCTCTCTCTCTTCCTCGTAGAAGATGCTCGCTGAGTGCCAGGACAGACGGAGCTGCCGGTTCTTCGTCAACAGCCGTCTTTTCGGGACGGACCCCTGTCCCAGCAGCAGCAAATACCTCATTGTGTGGTATAAATGTCGCCCCAGTAAGTCAATGTCCCTCCATGGCCCCACCCTACTCTACCTCTTTAAGACATGGACTTTATCTTACCATTCAGCTGTCCTCTTTGGCTTCTTGGGATGGTGAATGCATATCTTCAAGCAGAATTCACTTCAGCACATAGCCAAGCCCGAGATGTCACTGTAACACTGTGTTCTCCTTCCCAAGAGGGACAATAGCCTGAAGCTGGCGTGTCACTGCAGCATGTTATCCATGTTTTCCCCACTGTATGATGCATCTTGTGTTCGCGACCCGCCCTTTGTCATTGCGCCACATTAGCCATTGGGCCATTTCGGAATGCCATGCCTCCCAGTCTGTACTGCCCATGGATCCAGTACCACAACATAATTGAAGGTTTTTTTTTTTTTTCTTATTCCAGGGTAGGATGCAGTGTCACGTAGGTACAGCTAATTTGCCTCACTTGTTTCTGGTCATTCACTGGAAACTCAGCTTAGCAGCACTAATGAATTATCTCCAGCACATGCGTGTGTCAAAACCTAAATATTTTTTATATGAATGTAAATATGAGTGTAAATGCGTGTGATATGTGCCATCGACCCACAAACTAGCATCATGTAAACTTCCTGAAGGCCCTAACTATTTGTGCAGAATTTCATCTGCTCATTTTCTCCTAAAATGATTTTTTTATTATTATTATTATTTAAGAATTACTGGGACATGTTAAAGGTTGGTAGTTGCATTTGCTATAGGACTTGTTGATGAAGCAGAAAGTTGTGTGACGCGGGAAGATGGTGCTGATGAAAGCGGCTCATCTGCTGTGTCTTTTACTTCTTCAGTCCTTAAAATCATAGGCTGATTAGCACAGGCATAATTTTAACCAGTGCTTGAAGTTACCAATGACTCTTGGGTGGGGATCCTCTAAAAATCATGATAAAGTAACATGCCATAAAATGTTCTCTGTAATAGATGGTCCTGTGGGGGTTATTTTGGTCTCTGGACCCCCCACCCTGTCATTTCAATTAAGATTGTAATATTGCCAGTAACTTTAGGAGCACTACATGTACATTATTGTATTGTTATCTGCTGCCTCTTTCATTGTGGCCTTTGACCACATCGGTACAAGATTGAAGTGTCCATAAAGCGTCTTGCCCCCCCCCCCCCCCCCCCTAAAGCGTCTTGCCCCCCCCCCACAGAGATTTTCAGGCTGTTTTTTTTTTCCCTCCCTCCTCAGACGAGTACAAGAACAAGGTGGCCTGTGAGGGGGAGCAGATGAACCTGAGCTGCAGGAGGGGGATGCTGATCGCTGTCTACTCAGCATCCTTTGGGAGGACCCCACAAGGCGTCCAGGAGTGCCCGCTCCAAAACCAGAGGGCGCCGGCAGTAGGTGTGAACTGGGGCGGGGGGGGGGGGCAAGGGTGCAACTTTGGTTTTAACATTGAGGGTGTTGAGGTCAACACCTACTTAGGGGGAGACATGATCATTGGGGGATTTGTATTAGCTGGTTTTAATTTTTGGGGTGGTTATAACCCTCCATCCCCCCTGTAATGTATGCCCATTGTGGGGGGGGGGGATGACCTGTCTTCCATACCACTGGAAGCACAAGATGATGAGCATTAAGACTGTAAGCCTTAGATCAATGTGGGGCTCTGTTCATTAATATGAGATGATTGTTTGGTCTAAGCTCCATAGTTTACTCATTTCAACAAGGAATGAGCCATATAAGGGCTGGATGTCTTGCACTTGGCTTTGCCTGTTAATGGCTCCTTAGGATAAGAACTTGGTGTTTAGCGTTTCCACATTAGCATGTTCAGATGGACACACTGCGTCATCATCAAGTCAGAGTCCTTTAGTTCTCATGGTCTTGTTTAACGTTTTCAGACATACATCGAAATGCTTCTGACAAAGCTTGTATAAACATTACTCACATATAGACACAGGAAAAAACTATATACTGTATATGAAAGAACAAAATGTCTAGGAAGTGCCCCCAACCCCAACAAATATACAGAAAATAAAAGAAAATGCCATGCAGCTAAAGTTAAACGACAGTCTGAGGGATGTTCCTTTTTTATCAAAATCACATTCCAAAGGAAATCTGAAGGAACTTTGTTCTCCCGTGAAGTTCCAGGCAGGTGTCACTTGGACGGAAGCCGCGGCACATATCGGGTTCACACGAGTGCCGTCTGGGGATTCACTGGGAGAGGCGGCTGGGTTGGTCGGAGAAGTTCGAGTGTCATTAGTCACCGGGGATGAACAATGCACCATAAAGTACGATGGTGACGACACATCTGGAATATGTTTCATTGTCTCATCGGATTTCATTTTTTGAGCGATATGAGGGGGGGGGCATCCCGTTTCACTTTGTGACACTAGTGAGGACTCCTCGGATCTGAATGCCCCGTTTGTCACCACCTTAAAGAGCGGCTTTTCGAAAAAGACACAAGCCTTTTCAAGAAGGGCTTCTGTGTCACTGTGGTCATTGTGTTTAATTCACATGAAAGTGAGTCACCTTGCTAAACGCGAGGGTACTGTATCTGATTCATGGGGAAATACCACAGTAACATCCACCGAATCCACTTTAAAGGCCTTGCGCATGTTTTCCCGGCACGGAGTGAGAATTAACACAAACGTTGCGATTCGCTGAAGGTTTCGGGCAAAACCGCATGGGCAGTGTGCATACCTGAGGTTAGCCCAGTGCAGATGGGGCGGCTGGAAGCTGAAACCCAGCCCCCTTTTGCAGAACTGTTGCTCTACCACTTCTTGTGGGTTTCTTCTAGATACTCCGATTTCCAGCCACAGTCTCAGTGGGGGTCAGTGTGACTTTGACTGGAGCAGCATCAGGCCTAAGGTGTACCCAGACATGTGCAGTAGACTTCCTGGAAATGAACCTAAACTACCACAGTTCCGGAACGCTGTTTATTAATATTATTACGTTGTTAATAATCTGGATTGTATGTGATGACTTAGATATTTTTATCCACACTGACTTGTCATTTTTGCAGAGATATAGAGGTGTTTTCCAGTAGCAGTCCAGATTAAAATACATCATATCATCATATTTACATGTGCAAGTCCCTCATGGACTCAAACCATCCACACTAGTATTACAAGTTCATGTCCTGAACCATAAAACTAGCCTGCAGTCCCCAGTCATAATATGACCTTAATTGTTTTGTCCTTAATTGATTGCATTGCCTGAATTGCTCACCTTGGGGACATTCTTATGCAGATTATCTGTAATGGAACCTTAAACTCATCCCATTACAGACTTTTACAGCTGGGTGTTAATTCCTTTAAGACAGAGCGTTCCTTGTGGGACTGAGGAAGCTCGGACCTTCTTGTTGGGTCAGTTTCGTTAAGTATTTCCCAGCTGCTACTGCACATGAACCATGAGGTGGGGCCATAGGGGCAATGAAAGCTGATTGGCCCCTGGAGCACCCCTCTCCTGTCACTCCCCGATTCAAAACATATCATAGACTAATGATAAAGTTGGCCCCTCTGTATAAATTATGGCTCCTCTTACACTCCCATAAAAAGAAGGTTTGCAGACCATGACGAAGACCAATTCAGCTGGACACCTGACCAGGTGGCGACAAGTATGTAATTTCACAGCTGAAATGGAAATCATCACACACAAATCAGCCTATCCTGCTAGATCGGGCGACTGTGACCCTGTCAGCGTTCTGAAATCTGCAGGCAAATATTTGCAGCAAAACTAGAATCGTTCGCACTCAGGGGGGACATTTGATCGGTTGAGGGCATAACTGTACCTGTCTTTCTCCAGGAGAGATTCACAGCAAAGGGGTGGTAAAAGCACAGCAATGCATTGTGGGAAACATACAAACAGAAGTCCTGATTGGTCAAGCCAATGCCACACTCTTTCAAAGTTTTATCTGGGTTTTCCAGAACAGACATTTGTTTTTGGCTTAGGATTCCACTCAGCACAGCTTAATTAACCTATCACAACACTTGCAAACTAGATTATGCTTTCTGCAAAATGTCCAAAGTTGGGAAAGCCAAACAAAACTCCTCAGTGTAATTAATGTAATGTTTAATTAATAGCTTGGAGCCAGGCTTGTTGGAACCTCAACATGCAAAGCTGAGCTCTCATGGATATGGTGCAGTGTGGTGCAGTGTGGTGCAGTGTGCACTGGCGATAAACCCGTATCTGGATGTTGAAAGGATTCCTCTTCTTTTCATCTTCCTCTTTCACGTCTCCTGATTTTTGTAGTGTTTCCAGGAAGTAAACCACCAAAACACATCTCTCTCTCTCTCTCTCTCTCTCTCTATTTTTTCTTTTTTTGGGTCTATATCAGCTCATCTGCTTGTGGAAGGTCTTGCTACTTTAGACCCAAGTCACAACACTCCTGTCTCAATCCATATTCTAGTGCAGAAAAATTTGGATAAAATCACGGAACTGCACAGAACATCAAATCTGTGGTTTAATTTAAGTTACAGGTTGTTTGTATTCCTAAATTTTTGCCGTGCTGTGCTGATGCTGCAACGTGGCTGGTGTTTTGCAGAATAAATAAATAAATGCCAGCACCCGTGTCTGCGTTGTCCTGGATATCAGCCTGACCTTGGTTGAAGGTCACCATCCCCAACCCTTGTTCTTTGTGCAGGGCAGCCTGCTCCTGCCTCTTCTGTTTCAGCTGGACCCCATTCATTCCTTCGTTCCTTCCCTATTAGCCTGGAGGGGGCACGTGGAAACCCCCCCCCCCCCCCTTCTGATAACCCATGTATTTAGGTGGGCAGACGAGGTCAGTTTCATTTGGCAGCACTGAGAATTCAGCTTTAATCTAGAGCTCTTCTGGTGGTGCATCTGTTACAGATGACAACTGGGCTGCTCTATTTCCTTTGCACATTTCCAGTTGACTAATTGCTCTGGCGAGAATCAGAGAGTGGATTAATGGGCAAAATCTCTTAAGGCGACTCCTCCCCCCTCCGATTTTTGCCCGGCTTGCGGGGAGCGTTTATCGGGAACTGGACAGGGTCCCTCTACAGCAAGCCAGTGCATGAATGCCCTTTAAACATCGCCGAAGCTAATTAGGCACTCAGGCACTCAAAAAAAGACATTTGTCTTCATCTGGTTTCTCAGCCTGAGGGCAACACAAGGCCTGCCAGAATTTCCTTCACAGTTTTTGTCTTGTGTGCATGATTTTTTTTATCAAGCAGAGGAGCAACTAAGAAAGAAATAAAAGCATTCAAAACCGTCAAAAGAATATTCTTACAGAGACAACATTTAGTAAACAAGCCATGACAAGAATTCTCTCATTTTTAATATGTTTCTTTTATTGTTTCTGTGTTTTACTATCATATTGTTATTGCNAGAGTGGAGGCTTTAAAGACCAATTGTAGTGTAACCTTTGTGTCACCCCCCCCCCCCACCCCGAATCCCATCACATGCCACAAGCAAACGAGCAAACAGAGCTAGAGAAATGCAGTGTTCCGCTTCGTTAAGGAGCTAGTTTGTAAAAACGCACATGGTGGACCGTTAATCGTGCTTTTGAAATGGGAGACGGATGGGGAAAGTGGTCCGTGAAGATGGACGCATATTCCAGAATGCAGCCCTGGGGATGGTGTTGGATTCAGGCTTATGGGACAATGCCGCCATCGCGGGCTTCCCGCTCTCCCGTTTTCCGAACTAACTCTGTCTTCTCGGACGCCCGGAGGTCCACGGCTGCTCAGAACAAATTGCGCGTAATGAGGGCAGGGTGGGCTCGTAAAAACGACCACATGTGCTATGCCGGGTCTCTCCAAGCGGCTCGCAGCTTGAGGATGATTAATTCTGATACTGCCCCCCCGCCCCCCAGCTCCCCTCCTTCTTGGCATTATATTTTCGTCTTATTAGCCAGCTGGGCTCCTCAAAAGGGAAAGTCCGCTGCGCGGCGGATCGTACCAGCAGAACGAGGCTCCTGCAGTAAAAATATCCTTTTCCCACACCCAGATTATAACAAGAGTCATTGAAGCGTCTCCCAGTTTGACTTTTTAAACAACTGTAGGATCAACAACATGACCAAAAAGACCTTTCAAGCAGCTATCCCATCTGGCAAATGGTAAAATTTCTTCTGCACATAACTGTGTTGTTAAAATACCGATTAACCATAACTAAACCATAAATCATCACTGGGAGAGAAATGCCAGCATTGGACTAAGGAGACACAACCTATGTCCTTATGCAGTTAACCTATCGGAAGCATGCAATTATTGACATTTCTTCATTTAGCAGGTGCGTTTGTTTATGATGCCGTACAACAGGACGGATACATCACTAGGTGTTATGCAGTTAAGGTTGAGCTTCCAATTAGGGACCAGTATGAAGTGCACGTTACCATTGCAGCAAGAGCTACACAGGACCTTACAGAACGCTGTAAGAAGGC